CAGCAGGGAAATAGTCAATAGCCAATAGCAGTACTGTTAATGGGACAGGTTACAGTAGTAGGTCAGGTTAGGGGACTACAAATGCTGAAAATGGTCAGTTCTGGAGGGCCCAGTGTTCTGTGGACATGTATGTACTGTTGTCCAATGGTTATAAATGTATTAGAGAATTAAATCATTAAAAATCTTGTCACCTTTCATCACTTTCTTAGTCTTCTTAAGGCCAAGATTTCAGTATTCTACAACTGGGTTTATTTAGAGCAATAGTAAGTGTCTCTGTGTCTGATGCCCTTAGCTTCCATAGTAACTAGTCAATAAATAACACAGCCTTGGAGAGGTAAGGGTTCATAGGGCCTTAATAATTAATTTCCTTTTGAAGGAAAAAAAGAATTCACAGTCACATCTGATCGGCCTTCTATTTCAGCCTTTTCTCGGAGGCGCTGTTTTTTGCAACTCTTTCTTGTGTGTTTGTATAGCATGTACACCACTGGGGAACAGGTAAAGGTTAATTCCAATGAAAAGTAGAAGGAAAGAACAGGCACAACATTTTGTTTCTTCAGGTGTGAGCGTCTTTACACCTCGTTTGCTTGTTCCTTTGCTGCCCACACGCTGGCACAGCTTGTATACACTGCTGTTACTGCCACTGACTGAGGATATACACCAGCCACCCTAACTGGTACTGCTAATGCTTCAGGGAAACTGGTGGAACTAAACTTGTTTTTCGGCTTGTTAAGAAAAGGACAAGGAAGAAGATGTATTTTTCAAAATGCTGGACGGAATTCCTAAACTGTAAAACAGTCCCAGGATGTAAGACACATTTGTGCAATCCTGTGAGTTCTTATTCAAGACACACCTGGCACCTTTCCACCACAAAGAACGTGGTGTACTGCACCCTGTTAAACTTTCCTTATCACTGTGACTGTGCAGTTTTTAAACAGCCCCTGTGAGAACACACTCTCCTGTGTATGTGCACTCCATTCAGCAGTAATGTGAAAGTAATGGTATTACTGCTGCTACAGACAACTATAGCTTATTACTAATCCTGTTACTACTAATATACTCATTGTAATACAGTTACTACCTTAGTTGCTCTTACTACTCCTGCTGCTAATGTGACTGCAACTACAGCTGCTACTAATCCTGCTGCTGCTATTTTCCAATGCTACTACTAATATACTACTTCTAATACTGATTCTGATGCCACTACTAACGCTGCCATCACAACTAGTGCCACTTCTTCTATTCCTACTCTGTTAATACAGTACTTTCGGTGCCCCAGAGACTCCTTGTCCTACTACTGCTCCCCTTACTGTTTATGTGGACACAGCTACTACTATTGCTAATATTCATATTACTGCAGCTACTAGCGCAGACAGCATTACAACTAGAAGTAGTCTTACCATTCACATGATTAAATCTTCCCACATCTGCTGCTAATTTGACTATCACAACTGCCACGAGCACTGTCAGTGATAATATTTGAAGTTCTCATTAATGGGGTTTGGAGGACTCTAGAAGTATATCCCCTGCTCAGCACAAGACAAAAGAGCAGGAAAGGAACCTGAGCCTAGAGGCGAGGTTCAAAGTCACTTATATTCATGCCGTATGAAGGGCTGAGCCGGTTTTACTGTTTCTCAGTGACCAGACCACCTTGCCTCTGCACCCTGCAGCGCATCCTGATGCCTTCAGTGAGACACCAGCTCTGGCTGGAGTCTGTCCCATTCTCTTCACCTTTGCAAAAATATTGATCAAATGCTATACAAGACCTTAGCTGTGAGGCTCTACATTCCCTGCATGCCTAACCCAATATTAGTGTGGCCTATGGGGGTACAAATCTGTGCATTGTGGTAGACTGAAGACATAAAAGTGGGCTTGTCTTAAACACCTCGAACTCAGGACGTGTGTTTTTGAAAGGGCAGCATGCAGGCCGTGTTTAGGACCAGAACCGTCACTTTTGAAGACTTCATGTCAGTATTTGTGTTCTTTTCGCAAGGCAGGGGCGAGGAGGGGGGCAGAATTCCCACATGACCATGCTAGCCCAGCCTTGCTTGCAAAAACTCTCCTGCTGCACGCAAGAGGGCCTACGTGTGTTCCCAAAGGGAGGAGAGCAGCAAAACCAATTTTGCAAACCTGCAGAAATTAACAAAAAGATGACCTGCTCTGTCACTGCCTCGCTATGAACATGCACATTTGTACCGCTTTGGGAAACCAAACTGAGCTGTTCTATGGATCAAAGCACTTTGAAAATGCTGCTCCACGAGCAGATGTCCCTTAAGTTGGCTTGCTGGTGTCTATACTGTCCTGCTGCTGCAGCCCTGTCTCTTACTCTTTAACAGGCAGGAGCTGAGGTCAATAGCTTGACCTTGGGAGATTACCACATGCATATTAATTCTATCAGGGGGAGCCGACATGTGCAGTGGGGGGTGAACAGGCTGCACTGCCCTCTGCTTTCTTGTCGTTTTCAAGTCAGGTTTGTTCAGCACAAGCCCTGTTAGCTGACATGGTTGATGTCACTCCAATAACAGATGCTATGAGGGTAGCACAGGGGGTGGAAAACAGTGACTCTTGATTGGAGACCATTGTACACCTTGAGGTTAACGGCCAGTATGAACTCTCACTCTCACCAATCTCACCTGCAGTCAGGTGTCTTTCATACACACTGCTAGGGCAGGATTGGAATTAGTCCAGTAAGCTCGTTGACTCCTGCATCTTGCCGACCTCCTGCACCCTTACAGTGAAGTCACTGATAAGACACCCCTCCATTCGGTCCGATCTCTCCTGTTAGGCACTATGGAACACAGCACATGAGCTCAAGTGACCAGGCGGAGGAGCAGGTCAATGAATCTCATCCTCTCCTGAATGGGAACAGGTGTCATTGCTAGAGAGCTGAATCTTAAAAAAATTTTTTCATTGATTTGTGAAACAGAACAAAAATAAAGCAGCTGTTTTTTTAGGTAATGTGTAACTGTAACGTGTTGCAGTTTTCAAACCGAGTTCCTCAACACTGTCCATAATAACGTACTGGAGCATATGTATGTTATTAATAAATGTATTAAAAGGAAATGAGAGGGCATCTGCTCATCATTTTACAGACCCCTCCATGGCTGTCCAAGACTTTTCTAATGAGGTTCAAATGACACAGTGGCCATTATGAAGAAACAAATCTGTTTTATTATTGAACATAAACTAATGTATACTGAGTGGTAAATATACTGTAATATATCAGTGATCAGTGTGTCCTATATATACTGTACATACAGCAAACATAAATCAAAATTACATTACATATACTGTATGCATATATGAATGAGATAAGATGATTCAGATGTTTCTTTTTTCTGTGCAAGAAACAGGAACCTTTCTGAACTCCTGCAGAGCAAGAATTATGATCTTAGTGTGTCCTTTCCCAGGGCCACTATGAAACTCTCACGGTACATGGACATTTACTTACCGTTTTTAAGCCCCTTTCTATGTGTTGATACCCAGTAATATGAACTGGTGTTTAATTCTGAAAAGATAACAACTGCAGTGTAGCACAGCCAATGTCACAGGAAGAGGTGAGGCCAGAAATCTTTATGACTGTTCTTCTCCTTCTGTTCTACTATATTGAGCGTGATGTTCTACACACTTCAATTAGCGAGCAGATAGTGAAAGGGCAAAGGAATACCGATAAGAACCTGTTTATTGTGTCATTGCTGGGGTTTGTGCTGTTGAGGGCAGGCAGGGTGTTGTTATAGCGTCGCTTTGTCTGCTTGGCTGGGTTCCTCAGCATGAGTTGATGTGGATTTTTACTTTTACTGGGGAGTATTGTTTTAAAATGTGTATATTCACCCATTACTTGAGTAGAGCAGTTTAAGACAGAGTCCCAACAGAAAGTAGGCTTAAAAGAAACAACAACAGTTCATGCATAGTTTAATTTGGCAAGACAGTTATGTCTGAGTAAATTAGAGCCTGATCATTTTCAACAAGACAGATTTTGTTCATGTTTTATCATACTTGCCATTAAAGGTGCCAAAAAATAAAACTTATACTATAATTCTTACTGTGTCCTTAAAATATTAGCATTTCTGATCTGTTACCTTAAATCATCAATTGTTTTCGATTAGTTAACACCCTGTTTAAGAAAGCTTCTTGTTATTTAGCCACGTGTACTGAGGCAGGATCACCAAATGCAGATGTGTTCACATGCGACCCTGAAGAAAAGCTGTTCAGCTTTAATACTGGCTGGATGAGAGCCTACTTATATAGGGCATAGGCAGCCATCGCCATCTGTGCTGAGTATGAAACTGGGGTCAAATCAGGGTCACAGAGGGGTCAGTCCCACATGTGAGTGCGCCACCATATTCTCTTCAGCAGAGGGCACTCTAAACACATTTCCTTCTTGTCAAGGTCAAGCTTGCACAGATGCTGGGTTGGGACATAAAACGTAATATTATAATAATAATTCCTTACACTTATATATATGTAGCACTTTTCGGGACACTCCACTCAAAGTGCTTTACAGGTAATGAGGATCCCCTCCACTCCACTCCCCTCCAGGAGTGTGCAGCCCCACCTGAATGATGCCACGGCAGCCATAGTGCACCAGTATGCTCCCCACACACCAGCTCTCAGTGGGGGGGGGAGACTAAAGTGATGAAGTCAGTTCATAGATGGGGATTATTAGGAGGTCATGATAGGTAAAGGGAAATTTGGCCAGGACACCGGGGTAACACCCCTCTACTCTTTTTGAGAAATATCCTGGGATTTTTAATGACCACAGAGAGTCTGCACCTTGGTTTTATATCTCATTCGAAGGACGGCGCCTGTTTACAGTCTAGTGTCCCCGTCACTATACTGGGGCATTATGACCCACACAGACCGCAGGGTGAGCGCCCCCTGCTGGCTCCATTAACACCTCTTCCAGCAACAACCTTAACTTTTCCCCGGTGGTCTTCCATCCAGGTACTGGCCAGGTCCACACCTGCTGAGCTTCAGTGGGCTGTCAGTGGTGAGTTACAGGGTGATATGGCTACTGATTATATCTTACACTCCTGTTGGAGCCCAAACCCTCACCCTCCAAATAGACTATCTGTTGAGTTCTAGACACGTAGATCCCTCCATGAAGACTTGATGGCAAAAACACAGTGTTCCCTAATCCTGGTCTTGCAGACTGCATGGGTTTTAATTTAAACGGAGATTGATATCACTTAGCCTGATTGAACCCATTGACTGAGCTATTTCCATGGTTACAAATTAACCCTACACTGATTAATACAGAACTAGCAATGAATAATAACAGCGTTTTATGCATTTTAACTCCCTCCAGTATCTGTGCATTATTAATTGGTGATCTATTATGAACGGCCAACAATATCTTAAGGGAAGCAATTATTTATTGATCACGTTGAAGCTAAACCAGTGCAGAATTCTCTCGTTTGCAAAAATGTCTGGGCAATTACTCACCCCACTTCCTTCAGTAATTAAACCAAAAAATGACTTTCACTGGGCCATACTGAGGCACCTAAGCCTAGCTGCCTTCTCACCCAATAAACGGACTGTCTAGCATGCCCCAGCACGTCACTGCAAATCAAAGAGAAATGCTGGGAAACACAGGATTCTGCAAATGCAGTATGACTTTGCAAGTTGTTTTCGACAAAGACGTGCAGCTTGCAGATTATGTGGCTCGTTCTGATCCGCAAGAGGGTGATTTGTCGGGTGAGGCAGTTTTCAGCTATCACACATCCAGCTGGGGACATCTCACCACCCACACCAGTCCACACCAGCGGACCCCTCCGATGCCTTTACCACACTGACTGGAGCGCTGCTCAACAGCCCCTCTGAAGAGGAAGCCATGTGGCTTTCTGTTATGTTTCACAACTAATCTGGCACTTTTGACATAAAATGACATGCCAGAAGTGTGAAACGCTGAATACAAGTAGCTAAGCCCTGCACAATCCGTGAAGCTGGTCCGGTTTGGTTCTGGTATTTCTCCTTATCAGCAGTTGGAGAAGAAGGGAGATTTCCATACACCCACTTCCCAGCTGTTCTTCTTCCCAGTTCTGGGAAGCACAGTCCAGATGCCATTAGGCTTTATTCAGAGAAAGATAATACTGACTCCTGTTCGCAAACTTTATTCATAATTTAATAGTCTGTTTTATTTTTCAACCCCAACCTTCTTAATCAGAATGTATTTTATGGGCTAGTCTAAAGCAAAGCACTTAAAAGGGTAAAATGCCGTACTAAGCAATTTGTTAATTAACCGGCATCAGATAAACGAAAAACTATGTACTCCCCAAGATTTAAGTTTCTTGAGTCAAACCCGAGGCACAGTGTATACACAGAGTTTCAGGTAACATGTAAGTGGCATACTAACATGCATTTGCAGTCTCAACTCAGCAACAGATTCTGTTCCTTGTTTTGCACGGCAGTTGAAACATTTCTGTTTCTTATTCCCTTTAATTCTAGATGGAATATTTTTCCAAGAGTTACTGACAGACAGTTCAAAGGGTTCTCTTACAGACCAGATCAGAAAGCATTCGCTTCCTAAAGCGCAGATTCCAGGAGGATTGGGAATGCAAGTCTATGGGCAGGGCACTGGCCCCCTGGAAGAAGGGGAGAAGTCCACTGGCATGTTGTGGTACTGAATGAGAGATAGCAGGACGTTCTGGGATTGCTGCCAGACAGCCTTACTATAAAACAAGAGAAAAAGCTTCAGCACATGATGAATATTTACATTCACGCCTTTTGAGATTCTGTAGGTGAAGATGGCCATCGCTGTCCTGTGTGGTCAAAGTGTGTACTTTCTCCGGTACACATAAAGCCACAGACTGATCTATATGAACACAGCGCAGTGACACATTGATAGTGAAGAGAAACACATCCAAAACCTCCACAGGGATGTCGAAAGCCTCATTCAGCAATCACGTGGTGCCCCCTCTCCTGGCCCAACGAGCAGAGGTCAGTGTCTCCAGTAATCACTCGAAGGACTTGCGTCACACAGACGTTTGATCCACTCCAGTCTTTACAAGACCCTGGCTCTGGTGCAAAACACCCTGATGAAACAGAGCAGTGAATGGTTTCACCCGCTGTTAACCCTGTGAGCCTATCCACTGTATGCACATTTCTTCAAAGGGAGGGAGGTACAGTAGGTGCAGCTTTGCAAAGGACCTCTGACCTGTTTCCTTGTCATCGGGGTCCTTCGGCACACTGCACCTCATCAGGCATTTCAGATGTCTGCAATGTCCACTTCCGGAAAAAAAAAGTAGAAAAACAGATTCGACCAGGTTTTTACTACAGTAAATCGTATTCATCTCCTAGGGTTCTGCAATATGCCACGTGACTGATGACAAACACATGGCAGAGAGCTCCTAGGTTGCTGAAAGAGGGAGTTCAGTGATCACGAGTCCGGGGGGTGCAGTGTTTTTTTAGTAGAGGGCGGTCTGTCTAAAAGCACCCATGTACCATAAAGGTGCCGTGGCCTGATCAAGCATCCGACAGAAACCGTGACCTCCACTGGGCAAGCGCTGGCTGTTTCTGACAGATTTCTTTTGAAACCTTAAACCTTCTTCCAGGAATTTCACAGATTCAGTGCCAGGATTAGGCTGCAGCCCCACTGGCCATGACTGGTGATCTCGACCACACTATCTGTAATCATATTATTGCTTTCAGCAATACAGAGGGCAGCAACATAAAGTATCAATTCATATTTTACTGCAAAATATGTATTTATCTATAATCTACACTTGCTTTTTTCCCAAACCAACAGCATATGATTTTAGAGGCCTCTTTGAATTCTTAGCACTTTAGAAGCAGGAAGGAAAGATTCATTTAATGTCTACTTAGGACGTACTGTCTTCTCTAGGTCTTGAGGTGATTCGATGTGAACTATAGAACCTGTTGGATTCCAGTGCTCAATGAACGTTAGGGAATCCAGCCATAAGTTTTTATAACGCTTTTTTAACTGACTATAGAGATTTGCATAAGAGAAAGTCTAGTGAAAGTGAAATCTATTACCTACCTTGGCTGATAACAAACCACGTGGAGAGGGGACTGCGATTTTTAACGACTGTGCAAGGGCAGTAGTAAATAGTAAACCACTGGGAGAAACGGAGCCGCTCTCAGGGTTTGTGTTAAAAATGTATGGCATGCAGCAAGAGTACACTTCGCTCAGTGCCCAGGGTGTTTGTGTAAGATCCGATGACTTTAAACCCCTTTATCACCTGAACGATTCAGTGCGCTCGTTTGTTTAGCTTGCACGACAATGAAATTAGTTCCACATAATTGAGCAGCACATACACAGACTGCGGGTCACGTGGCACGGAGGCACGTGTTGGCGCAGACTACGCGTGCCTCTTTTGTAACATCAGCGGGGGGAAAAATGTTTTTCACAGTTTTGACCAAAACTAACTCTCATGGTTTCTCCTGAAATCATATTCGTCAGGTCTGTGCGCGATATTGGGCTGTGTGGTGTAGAAGCATAAACAATCTGTAGGTGAAAGGTAGGTTTTATCATGTGTACCTGGGCGCTTTGTTTTTACATCTAGAACTCAAAGCTCAGAGCTTCACTGCTGTGAGTATTCGTGCAATGATTAATATTTAACATCTTTGAATTCAAAACATTACAAAAGTACTACAGATATTGCAAGAATCACAGCCTGACAGATTCCAGTGCGTATCTTGCAAGATCCCATAGGCACATGTATTACATCAGAACAATCCTCCATTCGACAGGAAAAGAAAGTAATTTATCGAGGAGCTCAACTCTGTGGTTTCTTTAAAGATTTTATTTGCTGATGAGTCTTGCTAGGCATCTGCATGTATATGGTTTCTAAAATTTGGCTTAATTATTATATTCGTATAGAATGTTCAACATATACAGTATCTTGTATAAATTAACTCGTCAAAATCCTTGGTTTGCTACCTATTGTATTAAAGAGTGGATCATCAATAAATTGTTACATACACTACTGGTAAAGTTCAGATGGTTGAAAAAAGCTCTTTAGTTTATAATCCTCATTTCACTGTTTTGTTAAGTATCAGATTTTTAATAACTACAGTTTTGACGAACAGCACACTCCCCTTAGTAATTATTATTCAGCCCTGTGTCACTTACTCCCACAGCCAAATTGCTCTGTATGCTATTAGATCATTTCACAAGGATGTCTTCTTATTGCAAAAGCAATGGTAATTTGAAAACTCTATTGACAGTTTCAAAATCTCCTTCACATAAGTGAATAAGTAAGACAAAGGTTCTCTGGGATTTTATGTTAGTGTAAATTTGTATAGCTGTGATACAACTTGTTTTACTTTTCTTTTCACCTATGTAACATAAATGTGCATGCTGGTCAAATCTGTAGAACTGTATTTTACATACTCGACTCCAATTCAGAGCCAATGTGAATATTCACACTCAGGGTTACACTGATGTCATCTAAAGCAGTCCTAATCTGCAGTGATCAGAACCTTAGCAAGACCGCAATATGTTCTATCGTGCTTCTGACCCAATTTCTGTCATCAGGTGACAAGCAAAAAAAATTTGCCTTTGTTAACACCCCAAGTAAGAAGTCAGATTTACTGGAAGCTTAAATGCTCCTGCGTGTGCCCTGTGATAGCACAATAAGAAAATCTTGACAAGCGATCCTCAGAGGAGACTGCGTAGATTAAGTCTGAGTGTGAACTGGGATGATTAGAAAGGCTCACATTTAGCACCTAGATTCCAGTGTTTTATAAGAGGCTGTTAAATATTCACAGCAAAATTGAAAACATTAATTTTTAATATGTATTGTTGCCATTTTAAAAATGCATGTTTGACTTTTGCATTTTATGTAATAGCACAGGAGTGAAGTCATCATAACAGAGCACTTGGGCATTTTGCAGGAAAGGAGTCTGATGCAGTATCATTACCATTGTGACTTAATGTCTTTCTTAAATATATTCCATAGTGTTTCAAGAGGTAAAAAGAAAAACAGTTTGCATTTGCTTAGCACTTGTAATGACACATCACTTTATAGCCTTAGTAGGAATTTTAATACATTTACATAGAATGATACTACAGAAGGTAGATTGATTGAGAAAAATGCAGCATTAAACTACTGTGATAAAAATGAAATGTAGAAATGAAGAAAAAATATAGTGCCTGGCCAGCACCTACAGCAAATGAGGTGAAGGACGAAAGTAAAATACACTTGAATAGTGAGTGAACAGTCTGCCCAAAAGTTCAGCACAGGAGCTCATGGTCTGGACTTGTGTGGCTGGCTGTCCTCCTGCTTTGCAACATATGAATTCAAATGATCATCCAAATAAGAGCTCTTTGGATGCTGTGACAATCCAGTTGTTTCACTTTGCCTTCACTAGCAAATCTTTGTCCTCATAGACCATCCCTCAGGTGAAAAATGTGCTGATGATCACATCCGCCTTGTGGATGATGCAATTGTATTGCACAACAATCAAAACGTTTCAAGCATTCTGATACAGTACAGGGAAACTGGTCGATCACTGATATGCTTAGTTTGAAGAAAACAGGGATACTTTGTAGAGACGACACTGTTGAATAAATTATATTTCAGTAGTTTGGTTAGATCCTAGGTAATATGAGATAGAGACAAGATATGTTGTGAGTATTTGGCGTGACTCGCCAGGCTGAGGGAATGGCTGTCTAGCAGTGTGTGATAAGGCTGCATAAATCCCACTCACTATTGTGAGGAATGAGCTGCAGGGGTGTAGATAATAATAATACCTGGTTACGCTTTTATTGCGCTTTTCTGAACACTCCACTCAACGCGCTTTACAGGTAGATGGGGAGGCGGGGGTGGGGGGGGGTGCATGTGAGAGGGAAATATGTGAAAGGAAGTCCTGGGTGCAAAACTAATCACTAATATACACAGGTGAATGGAAGTGTGTGAGAATAGGATCTAGCTCTCCTCTTCTGTTATTAACTCCAGCTGATCACTTCTTGGATGCATAAATTGCCTTTATTTTTTAAATGCCCTCAGCACCCACCATCATTGTTCCAGATTCTTAATTTGATTTGCTTTCTGTTCTATTTGTTATTCATATCCTAAACATGAATTCTTAAAAATTATATTGATAGGTTGATAAATGATATCACTTCATCACATAAACTGATATAAAGAGGTGGGGCCATTTTCTCTCGTGAAATACAGTACATTGCCCTCATTTTAACAACATTGATCTGTCCAGGAAAGATGCCTCTGTGTCCCCTAAGAAAAAAAATGTATGATCCTTCCCAAACTGTAAATATGATTTATTGCTGTCTTATAATGACTGGAGCTGTGTGTGCCTGCATTACGAACCCACCTCAGATCAATGTGATGACATGATGTCCACAGTATTCTATACAGTTGATGGCCAAAACAAAGCACATTGGATGATCTAGCTTCACGACTGCAGCATGTGGCTAATGAAACCCCTCTCTCAACAAAATTAAGCATTTCAGAACTTCTAGCAAGTGACAGTCTGGGTTATGGATGGGGAGCAAAACCCCCAGAATGCACTGCTGTCCTCTGGAGAGTTTACCCCGGAAAATGTGCTATTTTGGAATTCTTTTTTTTTTGCATGTTTGGAAATTAGATTTGCTTTGTTACAATCTTCCGTGTTTTGCTTTTCCACACTGGTTTTGTCATGATGTTGTAGTGTTTTATCTTGTTTTCACTGTGCCATACCACCGTAATAGATAGGGCCATATTATAATCCAGCTAGTTCTGGGGCTTCATCGCGTCTGTTCAGGTTTTTCCTAGTAGAATATGCAGCTTAACCGACTGCTTTTGTAATCAACCTGAATTAATCCTTCAGAGGAAAACTTTGGATATTTTGTCCCAAAGCCTCATCCTCCTCAGACGTTGGGAATCTTAAATGATCGAGTCTCATTCAGATTATTTACTGTTGTAACCCACAGCAGGGAGCTCACTTGGATTGGAGTGAATTCAACCGGGAAGTACCGTTCCTACTTCCGTTCAGATTGGCCCACACTGAAACTTGAATGGACTTTCGGAATGCTGAAACGGATATACATTGAGCATCTACACACTTTGACTTTCCATTTAAAGATGGGAGTTTTTTTTTAAAGATGAAAAAAGGATGCACGTGCACATGCTTTGGTTATACTAGAGTTTCCATTTTCCATTTTCTTAACTGTTTCATTCTGTCTCCAGGAAGCAGACTAAATAGTTGCAAAGTGAGGGACAGTATCCCTGCATACATAAGTGAGGCCTGTGGTTTTCATTGCCTCTGTACCACAGAAGGGTTTGTAATGAGATCATCCTTATGAAACAATAATCCATTGTCATCACCACCACTTCGTCTTGCATTGCCGGTTATGTATCCTAATTTGGAAGCTGTGAACTAACATGATACACATCTCCACATACACACAGAGAACCAAGGATGAGAATAAGATTCCCATGACAGAAGCATTTGGGGTTTTATGAGCTGCAGGTCAATACTGGTTTTCTCTCACACTTGGCGTAATTTGTGTTAGCTTGGTACATGCATATAAAATGTATTTCCCTGCTACATATCCATCTTTGTTTCAATATATGTAGTGAGCATTGCTTGGATTTGTGCAGTGCCTTTCATTGCACAGTCCCCCAAAAATGCTTCATACAAAGGAGAAGATCCAGCTCATCCACCAGTGAAGAGCAGATCCCCAGCTAGGCCGGCACTCTGCTCATTCTCCTCATGGTGCAGGAAAACTGGAGAAGAGGTGAGAAATTGCTTCACCAACTGAGTTATGGGGGAGCTTTAGGGAGTGCAGATTGCGAAGACCTAGAGTGGAAATCAGCTTGGACACAAGGGTCAGCATCGGGTCTTTAACGCCCAGGTAGTCAGGACCTTGATTTAATACCCCATCCCGAAGGCTGGTGGTTTCTACAGCACAGTGTCCTCTACCATCACACTGCTTGGGAAATCCTAGTTTAAAGATGGAAGAGTGCCTCCTACTGCAGTTTTCTGGGCTTCTTAAAGATCGGCTTTTCCATGCTCAAAGAGAAATTAAGGGTCTTTGAAATGTTTTTATACCCTTCTCCTGATCTGTGCCTTTATACAGCTTTTATGGAGTTGGAGTTGTTACAAAAGGTTCCTGGTGTTCATAGTTGAATCTTTCCTTGAAATTCACTACCTGACTGAAGGACCTTACAGACACAGGCACAGCACGTTTATTCTGAAGCAACGTGAACTACTTTTATTGCACTCAACTAATTGTGCGGCTCGTTAAGATAATTATTGTGTACCTAGGTTTTCCACAGCAAAAGTCTGGAAATTTATGCAATCACGGCTTATATTTTTTTCACATCCTCTATTTACTTGCTTTATTTGTTTGTTTGTTTTTTTTTTGCTTTGAATGTGTGGAGTGGTTTGTGTGTATATCAAACGAATTGCTACTACAAAGGAACCTGACCGCTTTAAAACCACAACCTTGAGACCTGTGAGAGAGCCTGCAGACTTCTGCCAGGCTTGTCTTTGGGATTATCAAGGACTGAAGGAAAACCGCCTTCAAAGCAGCATGCATACGTTACTACCCAAGCCTGCTCATTGTTGTGGTAGAACTTCAAGGCGGCGTTCACATTGTCCCATTGTTGCCGAGCTGTCTAATTACATGGTACACGCGGTCACCGTTTTCTTCTAGATTGACAAGGAACCGTCATCTCCTCCGAGGAATGCGGTGAAGGTCGGTAGCGGTTGGTGGCAGTTACAATGCAGGCTGTGCCGATC